TTTTCATCAAACAAGGCACCACGTTGATTAGATCCATGGGGCCTCATTTCGAAATCCCGCCAGCTTCTCTATCTGTATTTCTAACGATCTCCATGCTTATTAGCATTGCAGTTTACGATCGTCTCTTTGTTCCATTGGTTCGAAAATACACAAAAAACCCAAGAGGCATCACTTTGTTGCAACGAATGGCAATTGGACTAATACTCCATATCGTTACCATGATCATCGCTAGTTTCGTTGAAAGGCGACGACTAAACGTGGCTCGAGATCATGGTATAGTAGGGGAAAAGCAAATTGTGCCTCTAAGAATATTCATTCTCCTCCCTCAATTCGTGTTAATGGGCATCGCGGATTGTTTCCTAGAAGTCGCAAAACTTGAGTTTTTCTACGATCAAGCGCCTGAAGGAATGAAGAGTCTTGGGACGGCTTATTTTACAACTAGTTTGGGTGTCGGGTTTTTTCTTAGTAGTTTCATCCTATCAACTGTGGCTGATGTTACCAAGAAGAATGGATACGGAGGTTGGATCCGTAACAACCTCAATAAATCCCGCCTAGACTATTATTATGCATTTTTCGTGGTTTTGAGCTTTGCAAACTTCCTGTTCTTCCTTGTTGTCGCGAAAAACTTCGACTACAACTCTGAAGTTGATGAGCCGGAACAAGAGTTGAAAGAAGGCATCGGAAAGTTTACAGAACAAGGCTACGTTGCTGGATGAACTTAACTCGTAATATTTTTTTTCTTGTTAGGACCAACAGGACTAGGGACCGGTTATCCTAAAAATCGTAATATGTCCGCAAGGACGGGTCCAGGGTCCTTATAGACATCTCTAGTTGTTTTTTCCGTGATTATAATATAACATGTCATCCAATATATGCATTATTACTTGATATTTTTTGTAATAAGGCAACAATAGAGCATATTTTTTATTTAAGGGTGCCGATTAAGCATAGAAACTCAAATTTCCATGTAAAACTACCTAACTATTCATAACTTTTAACTTTAAACACTTTGGTGTAGCAAGTTACCTAACTCTTATCATTGAACATCACTATGATCATTTTAACAACACACATCCAAACGCCCCTAAATGGGGTAAGTGCCTGTTTGTTAACAGTTTAATGAGCATATTTGGTTCAATCCATGGAGCCATAATTTCAGATACAACAGAATTGTCTGGTTGTGTTTGTTAGGATGTCCATGATGGATGCATTATAGTTTATAACCGTTTTCCTTTGATCAGAAATTACACAACAACAAAAAAAAAAAACTCAGGAGGAATCATTTTATTGCAGTGAATGGCGAATGGCATGGTCCTCCATATCATTATTATGATCAACGCTAGTCTTGTAGAATAAGCATCCTAAAGGAGCACGGTATTTTTGGGAAAGGGAAATCAGTAATCTAAAGTATTCCATTCTCCTTCCTTGATTCACATTGATGGGGATCGCTAATAATTTCTATTAAGTCCCAGAACTTGAGTTTTTCTATAATCAAGTGGCCGTAGGTATGAAAAGCCTCGGCATGCTGTATTTTACGACTATTTTGATCTCAAATTTTTCTTAAAAAAAGGTATGACATCACCTTCTGGAGCATCCCCACCGTACTGTTCACAAGGCCATCATGGGGAGGTAAATCAAGTATTCAAGTGTCTCAGGGTACCTGGAGTCGAATTCTGCAAGGATTCTCACCTCCTTACCTGCTAAGTCAATGCCGCAGCAACTTAATCTCAAACTTTTTCCTAGTAGTTTCGTTCTATCGACTGTGGGAGTTATTACAAAGAGGAACGGACACAAAGTTGAATCCTAGAAACTTCAACCAATCTCACCTAGACAATTATTATGTATTTCCATGGTTTTGAGCTTTATGAACTTCCTTTTCTTCCATTTTCTCTAAACAAGCCTCGAAAAGTCTACAAGTTGAAAGAAGACATCAAAATGTCTACAGAACAAAGCTAGTTGACAATCCTAAATTGTAATATATTTTCTGTTTTTGTAGTATTGGTATTATTGGAAAATTATGCACATGTTTTAGATACTTACCATCAGCAATAAGGTTCACTAGTAACAAAAAAAATTGTTGTATTTGAGCCTAGTCGATCCAAGTTTGCAGTGAAGTCATGGCTTGGCTTGTCAAACTCTACAAACACAAGCTTAGACTCTGGTTAGCTAAAGGAACTCCACAATGAGGTCCTAAGTTCAGAGTATTCCCTAGGCCATGAGGCCATAGAAGAGCAACAAAATATATGCATTGGTTTCTACGTATTAGAGCGAAGGATAAAGGGAATAACCATTAACCTTGCATTATTTAAAGACTATATGCCTGCAAGCTTTGGTGCCGCAGGTACAAACATGGCTGTTACTATGGAATCAGGCTCAAGACGCACAGCTCCCACACAAGCTTTTACCCCTGAGAACACACCAAGACCGAATAATGTAAAATTATTCAGTAAAGCACAAAGAGAACAAGTAACTGTATTGTGCAGTTAAAATGTTAGCAAGTAACTGTATTGTGCAGTGCAAAGTGAAAACCGGTAGAAAACAGAAAATTTGCATTCCATATAGTAGGGACAGTTTGCTCATTGCTTGAGCTTCTCCAGTTGATTTAAAACCCTAATTCATCAGCAACCCAATGGATTTGATGATAATTTATCTCATATCCATCTCATCAACACGTCTTCAAGAACGAACCCTAATTGATATAATTTTTAATTTGGATTTAAGAACAAAGTCACAAACACATCATCAAAAACTTCCCTAGTTGGCAACAGCCAAAGGAACAACAACTGCGTAAAATGTAATTATCGGACGATTGCGACTACAATGGTAACATTACCATCACAATTGCTGTCGCTCCCATGTTATTAAAAATAATGCAGACCGGTGAAATATTTAGGGATGCGATTAGCATCGTTTTTGAGAACCTCGATCGATACATCAATGCTTACAACCTCCATACTCCACCTAAAATTGCGTCAATTTTGGTGCACAATGACTGAACTAAAACGATGTGGATCAACGATGATGAATCAATTGTGTTGATGCAAACAATTGATAGACTGAAAGTAATATAATCGGATGAATTAACTTACCGAACTTATGATCGCACGAAAAGCAAAATTCATCCATCGAACAACTGATTCCCGCGAAAACCAACAGAAATCGCAGGTGGTGTTGGTTTGCAGGGCGGGAGTTACAGGGATAAAATATTAATTCTATCTATTTGACATGGATAATAATATTTTTTCAAGGGCTACTTTTACGTTCAAAAAAGACATTATGATGGGTTTATATGTAACATCTCAGACCAATCATATAAAATATTGTTCGTTTTGTCCATACATAGACTCACGGTTTGAAAACGCGTTTGACGGCTGAAGTTTTCAGTCCTTTGTAATACAACATTTGTTTTCCTCCCCAACCGATGTAAGATCACAATCCACCCTCTTGGGAGGCAGTTTCCTCGCTAGCACACCAGTCTGATTCCTAGCTCTGATACCATCGGTAACATCGCAAACTAATCGCATCGGATATTTTCCTCTTTGTCCACATCTAGACTCAAGGTTTTAAAACACGTATTATAGATGAATTTTCATTATCTATCTAGAAAATTTTAGAGAATCTTTTAGAGCCGAATAGAAATGGCTAAAAATCGGTCTCTGGCTAGGCCCAAATCAATCATGGTCCCAAATAATATTCCTGTAACCGTTCCCGACCAAAACCGTAAGGGGCGGTTAAGCTTCCTCGTAACCGATTATGAGAATCGGTCCTGGCCCAAGCCCAAATCTGTCATAAGTTTTTCTTTAATTCGATTTTTACATATAATTTTTTAGAATTTTTTTTAGAGAATACGAAATAATTTATTCTAATATACTACTAATAAATATGTAATTGGGCAACTCAAATACACTTAAAAAGAAAGAGATGAAAAGTGGGAGTCGTTAAAAACAGAAATTGAATACGAACTGAAATCACGAATTATAGCAAGAATTGTGAATAAAATTTGCGTTTGTGAGTTGATATCTTCTCTCATACACCATATGACTTATATATAGCATATAGAAGGTAAATGGGACACAAAAACGGTCAAAATGAAAAACAAAACAGTCATATGAATGTTGGGCATTGGGCAACGACTATTTTTTTTAAAGAAAATCGGGGTGGTCCCTAGTCGGGCCTATAACAAGTCATGATTCAGACATTGTTTTTTTGATAAAAATCGTAACTGGTGCTTAACCACCAATACCAATCGGTGACAAACTGGGCCGATCCCAAGTTGGTCCGGGTTCGGGTCCTCCGCATATTCTGGGTCGAGCCCATTTGGCCATCCTTAGAGCCGAATAGTGATGGCCAAAAACCAGTACGTGCCTCAACAATACCGGTCTTGGTCGAAATTCTCATGCCCAATTAACCTGTCCTAGAACCGGTTATAGATAGCCGGTCTCAGATTTGTATTTTAGTTTTAGAATTCTGTTGGGTTAAATTAGCCCGGTTTTAGAAAATTTGGGCTGGTAATATATTTGGCCCAATCTCTATTTGTTGCCCACACTCACACCACCACTCTATAAATACCCAAAACCCTGGAATCAATATCCTTCTGTCTCACTTCTTTCAAACCCTAGGCCACCCTTTCCAGTTACCGCAGCCGTGACGGCGGCGCCGGCGAGTATCCTCCGGTCACTTGTAGGTTAACGGCCTCTGTTGTTGTCTTCTACTGCAAACTTTCTCATATTTTTTCATCATCATCCATAACTAAATCAAAGATTTGTTTGATGTTTCGATCAGCGTACGAAAGTTTAACTATAATTTCATTGTTTATATGACCATCTGTATGCTTAGTTACAGAAATCTGAGTCGTGTTTTAGTTAATCGTGATTGTTTTGAGTCCATCTTGGCGAAGCTGTTGAGCCCTAAACTGGCGATGAACAGCTTTGAATGCTAATGGACTTAGATTCAAACTCCAGTCTACTGTTCTGGCGTTCTAATTTTGTGGATCCGTCAGGTCATTCGGGCTGGAACATCGATGTTGCAGTAACAACATCATCTCAAAGTTATCAAATCAATTTCGTAAGTATCACATGAGTTTTATGTTTCTAATTTATATTAGATTTACAGGTCAATTAGGATGAATCATTGGATCATGTTTGTTTTAGGTTTTCAATGAATGTTGATTAAAGCTTTTGGATTACAAATTTTTTCTTGTTGATTGAATGATGTTTAGAATTGAGTCCATCTTGGCAAATCTGTGGAACCTTTGGGTGATGAACAGCTTTGAATGCTAATGGACTAACATGAAAATATCAGTCTTTAACTGTTCTGGAATTCTAAATTCATGGGATTACCAGTTCATTCGGGCTGAAACAACCGTTCTTTACTAAATTTGCACAAATAATGAAAGGTGTTGCTTTTTTATCCGTTTTTGTTGAATTTTGTGTGAAAAAAATTATTTGATAAATTGCCTGAGAAAGTAACATACTTAGTATTTTTAAAAAAATTTATTTTAGTATTTAAAATATCAACCGGTGGAAAGTGCAACAATCCTGGAAAATATCAACGTGAAGTTGTTGACCCTGAAGATGTACAAACTGCATTTTACTATCGTAAATCATCCATTTATTTTGTCCACCTTACATGTCTATTGTCTAATCATACAAACATATCAATTTTCTACCCACTCCCATCCATTTCCTGAATAAAACATTAGCATTTTATCCATGGAAATAACTCCCTTCAAAAAATAAATCTAAATTGATTAAAAAAAGTTTGATGAAACTATAATGTCCGATTGATTTGAACTTGGTTTTCAAAAGTCAAAAATGATTAATTTGAACTTGGGTTTCAAAAGTCATTAAAGTGATTGATTTGAATTTGGGTTCCAGTGACATGAGGAAAAAAATTCGAATACAAGGAGGAATAAAATTTTTTTTGTGGCCATAGAAATTCAAATGTGGTGACTTCGAGCTATTCAAGAAGCGGATGGTTGTCTTAAGATTAGTCGGTTTACATAGCTGGTTGAATATCCAGATTAATAAAAAAATAGTTATTCTTCCTGGTTAAGATAATATTTAGCTTTTTTTGGAACCGCATTCTTATTTTAATCAGAGTTTAGGCAAATACGTTACATTTTCCTGTAAAACCTTTTTTTCCAATTTAGAAAAAGGAGAACGCTAATTATGAAAAAAAAAGAACTGAGAAATGCATGAGACATATACACTTTGATTTGATTGATAAAGCGATTAAAAAGTGAATATTTCTCAAATACAAATATTTGCCCTCCTTGAGACCTTTAATATATTTTATCTATATCTACATTGTATTATAAAATATTTGATAAAAACGTTTAAAAATAATTTTTTTTTCATAAAATATTATTTATTGATTTATATTACTTAAAATTCAAGATCACAAGTAAATTATGTATAAATATAACTTATTAAAAATTCAGTTTTGAATTTATGTAACTACCTATAAATAAATATAATCAAGATAATCTTATTTTGAATATAAAAAAACTAAAATATAATTAAGATAATCACTAGTTGTGTATCCGTGCAATGCGGCGGAAACCATGGATTTTAACGATTTTGAAGTTCCATTGGTTTTATGAGATAAAATTTAACGATGATATAGGTTACATTTGGTCTTTACATATTAATACAATTTGAATAAATAAGAGTTATGGTTTCAATTACAGACTATCGATGAAAAAAAAATTATGACAGTTTAAAATCCAATATATTTAAAATCCAATATATTTAAAATCCAACATATTTAAACGACTCCACAAATGTGTTTGATTTACACCAAGAGCAAATAACCAAAAAACTTGAGTTTTAAGATAAACACTTAAAACCAATAAAGAAAACTACAAATTTGACAGATTATAAGCCATGAAAAAGACCAAAAAAGATGAGTTTTAGAATGAAATTTCAACAGCTTACCCTCTTTCTTGTCCAGAAACTCATATTAAGGTTGAATTATTACATGTATATATATATTTCAAAAAAACCCAAGAACATATTATACAGTCCAATTTAGACAGCCTAACCCCAAAATATATAGTATATATATAAATAAATAACTATAAAAGTATAAATCGTAAATATTAAAAATATTTTTTTACAGTATATATAGTATATAATAATATAATTAAGTCAAAAATATTCAATATTGGACTCATTTCWAAGGTATTAACGAGACAATTATAATGGTGTAACTTGTTAAAATAAAAATGTATTTTTTAAACATATTTTAATTGATATACGATTATGTATGTTAATTTGATAAAAGTTTAAAATGAAAAATTTAAAAGTAAAGAACATAAAGTAAATTAATTAACTAATTATAGGGGTATAAAGTGTAAATTTAAAATTACAATTTTAAAAAAAATGGTTGTGAGAGGGTAAGTGTATGTAAGGGGGTGAATGTATGTGAGGAGAAGAGGGGCGAAAAAATGAAAAAAGTGATGTAAGGTTAGTATAAAGAGGAGGGGTGAAAAAGTGATGTAAGGTTAGTATAAAGAGGAGGGGGTGAAAAAGTGATGTAAGGTTAGTATAAAGAGGATCTTGCTCATTTAGTATTTTAAGACTTTAACACTTTTGCTATTCAATACTGGACTCATTTCGAAGGTATTCACGATACGTTTATAATGGTGTAACTTGTTAAAATAAAATTGTATTTTTTAAACATGTTTTAATTGATATACGAATACGATTATGTATGTTAATATGATAAAGGTTTAAAATGAAACATTTAAAAGTTAAGAACGTAAAGTAAATTAATTAACTAATTATAAGGGTAAAAAATATAAATTTTAAAATTATAATTTTAAAAAAATCGGTTGTGAGAGGATGAGTGTATGTGAGGAGAGGAAGGGGTGAAAAAGTAATATAAGGTTAGTATAAAGGGTATCTTGATCATTTAAAATTTTAAGACTTTAAGACTTTTGTTAAATTTGCTTAATAAGATAGTATAGATTATGTATGTTAATTTGATAAAGGTTTAAAATGAAACATTTAAAAGTTAAGAACGTAAAGTAAATTAATTAACTAATTATAAGGGTAAAAAATATATATTTTAAAATTATAATTTTAATAAAATCGGTTGTGAGAGGATGAGTGTATGTGAGGAGAGGAAGGTGTGAAAAAGTAATGTAAGGTTAGTATAAAGGGTATCTTGGTCATTTAATATTTTAAGACTTTAAGACTTTTGTTAAATTTGCTTAATAAGATAGTATAGATTAGTTATAACAAAAATACTTAATTATTATCTTTTAAAAAATTATATTATTAAACGATAAATAAATTATTTCGTTATTAAATATAAAATTAAATTATAAATAAAATATTGAATTAAAGAAGTTACATAAAAAACCAGAACTTTAAATACTAAATTTGATATTAATATCGATAATTTTTTCTTTAAATTTATATTTTATTTAAAAATAAAAACATTATCGTTTTCTCAAAACCATTAAAAAGCGTATTCTATCAACATAGATTAATAATAAAACGAAACATTAAAATTGAGAAATATATTAGTATATTATACTGAGTTTACCAAATGTTCTGTATGTGTGTATGGTAATCAAGGGGCATATTGGTCTTTTTCTACTCGATCTAATTCCTAATACAAAACATCGACAAAAATCAATTTTCATCAACACTTATCACATTCAGACCGTCTTTATCAGGAGCAGATGTGAAATCAGCATTTGAAAAACTACCAAAATGGCAAAAGGGATCTCATTCTGTTCTCTTCAGATATTTATGGTACAGATTTTCATTATTTTCTAAAGATTACACCCGTTATTATGTACGTAAATCGGCAAACGTATTGTCGTCATCTAAACGGCTCAACAGGTTCAGTTTCCTCGAGTATCGTAGCAGCCTCGAAACAGTCGGCCGCTTCCTTTATGAACATAGGACCCTCGTCTTTATAGAAGTGGCCAAGATTATACCACGCCGACGAGTTCATTCGGTCTAGCCGCAATGCTTCCGTCAAGAAGCTTCTTATCGCGGGTCCAGACTTTCCGCCAACCCGTCTCAGAACCAATGCCATCGAAACGAGACTTTGAACATGACCGGGATCAATATCCAGAGAATTTTGGTAAGCTTTTAGAGCTTCTCTTGTGAGACCCTTTGCTTCATACAACAAACCTATAACAAGAACAAAATCGATGCAATTAGCCGAAACCAGATAAACCAAACCAAAAAAACTCAGTATATTGGTACGCGAACAAACCAGAACATGGATCACTGTTCCATGTTTGGCATGACTTTTATATGGAACTTATTGGAGTTCCACCCCCACCACATGGAACAAGGTGGAACACAAACCTATATTTTACCAATATACCTTCAAATAAAATCTAATTATCTTCCGAAACATCAAATACGTCTCACTATATTTTGGTTAATTTATGTGATTTATTAAATATTAAAAATAAAAGGAAAATGTACAAAATAAAAATTGGAAATTAATAAACTTTACATTTTTGGTTGTCATTTTTATCATCTTGACAAAAACTTTCTAATAATATATTTTGTTATAATTTAATAAATTACATAAATTAATCAAAATACAGAAAAGATATAAACAACTCATCGGGGGTTAATTGGTCATTTTATCAGTCCTATCTAGTCATGTCTTAATAATCACTTAATAGTTGGCATGTCCTGTCCTATTTTGTCAGGGTACGAGATGAGAGAGAGAGGCTGTTTCCAATATTCAATTTTTTTCAATAGACAAGATGGGAAAGAATCACGAGAACGTACCGGTGATATGCCATCGAGACGAAGAGTAGTAATCGATAGCCTCGGATTTCGAAAGACATGCTTCGGCATCGAGCCACTGAGATAAGCTTATATACACCATAGCCAGATCATGCCATGTTTCTAGTTCCAAATCTTTATCATGTTTACCGCCAACCTACCGAAAAAGTCAAACACGAAAACCAAAAAAAGGTCAATGCTTTTCGCATCAAGAAACGACTTTCTCGAAAGATAAATATCAAATAATCATTAAAGGAGCGTTAGAGTCGTTCCCTTTTCAGGTTACTAAGAGTGCAGTTGGTATGTAGGAAAATACAAGACATAACAGAACAAGAACAAAAACTGGTTGTCCAACGTATGACGCAATATTAGATTGGGACACGATGGGACTGAGTGGGAGAAAAAGGTTTCTTTTTGTCTGACAAAAATAGATGACACAAAAGTCAGGGAGATGGTACAAGATTGGTAAATTACCAAACTACCCATATTAAGTTAAAACCCTAAGACCTCAAGCTTGTCCAGTCTTGTCCGTTAAGGTGCGTTTAGTACGCGAACAAGACCGGACTGGACACAAGTTGGTCAAAGAATCGTGGAAGGTTTCATGGTTGTAATTGTTGACATGGGTAGTCTGGTAATTTACCATATTGTCCCGGCACCTTCACAAGTTGGTCAAAGAACCGTGGAACGTTTCAGGGTTTTAATTTTTGAATAAAAAATTAGTTAAAAATACCTCAAGATTCTTCGATCGAGTTCGAGTTCGAAAACTTTTATTCTGAACTTGAAGAACAGCAAGAAGTTGAGTGTATGTATGAATGGCATTCTTTACTTGACCCTGTGCTAATTGTAGCTTGGCTTTGGTTCTCAACAATTCTCCTTGATCCCATTTTCCGCTTTGATCCAAACCCGCGTTCACGATCGTTTCGGCATCGGAAAACAGTTTCTGGCCCGACAAGATTCGAGCCAATAACAACCAACTTCGAAGGCGGGACCCTCCTTCGAGTTTAATCAACCGTTTCGCCAGACCAAGAGCCGTATCCAGTTTCCTCTGCTCAGCGTTTTCTAAACTCAAACAGTAAACGATTCTCGAGTCAACCATTCGGGTCAACCTCCCGGCGGTTTCTAAACACTGAATCGCCTCCGACTGTTGGTCAACTCTTTCGGAATCGGTCAAAGCTGATCTCGAATGTTCCAAAAGCGAAATACCCAATAAAGAATATGCAACTCCAACCATCGCGTTGCATTTATTTCCCAAATGAATCGTTCTTTTCGCAAGATTTACGCCTTCTTCCACAAAATCGGGATTCTCCCCACAAATTTTCGACGCCATTAGTAAAGCCGGCACGTAATTTGGATCATCGTGCTTATATATATTTCTCAGCAAATTCAAAGCCGATAAACCGTCACCTTCTCCATAGTAACAAAGAGATAAAAGAAAGTACCGTTCTTTTCTGTCGATAACCGCCGGAAGCAATTCTTCCAATTGCTTACCTAGAGCCCCAAGCCCACCAGAAATCGACAACGCGTAAGAAAGATGATCAATCACAGACGGGTCCCACTCGATTTTCTTCAAATTAATCTTTTTTAGTAAAATCATCAAAAGTAGAATAGCTTCTTCGATGTTATTTCTTGGTACGAATGAACTGTCCATCTGGGATCGTAGATTTGGCGGGATTGCATCTTTGCCTCCACTATAAAGAAGAAAAACGGCAAAATCTTTTCCGATTTTTGCTATTGTTTCTTCATCGAGGTTCCAATGATGGAGGAGTGCGCGCCGGAAAGACAAGATCGCTTCCTGAGGTGAATCAGCGAGTTGCCATAACTCAGGAAGCAACTCGACTGCTTTATTCAGAGTCTCCTGTAATTTACAGTCAGCACCGAAGTTTTCCGGTAAGCCATCCGGTAACGATGATTCCACAACGTCAAGTATAACTTTGCACGATTGAGCAGCTTCTGCAAAAAGTTTAACGGAAACTTATGAGTCGCCACAAATCAATAACTTTTTTCTTGAAAAACCAAACCAAACGAGCCTAGTATATCCCACGTAGGGTCGGGGGGAGGGGGGGTAAGATGTATGCAGACCCGACCTGTACCTCAAAAAGTAGAGTGGCTATTTCCGGAAAGACCCCCGAGTTGTGAAAAGTGCGTGAAAAGGAGAAAAGCAGTTGAGCTTAAAATTTTCTTGGCATCCATGAAAATTACCAAGCACCTGCTTCAAAATAAGTGTCCACATTTCTATTTTAGACTGCCCAAAATAAGTGTCTACTTTCAAAAGTAGGTGCCTACTTTCAGTCTCATTAAGCTCATTAAGTTACTAACGAACACACTCTTAATTATGAAAAGGGACTCCAACTGTTATCAAGGGTACAATTGTCAGTTAGTTAACTAACAAATGTAATGATTACACATTTCTAAGACTGTCTGCCGTTTTTCTTCGTGGACATTTATTTGGAAGTACTAGATTTCCAATTTCTTCATAGGTGAGAAAGAATCAAAGGTTACATAAGACCAGAACTATATAAAAAAACCATCACGACCCTCGTAGACAAAATCACCAACATCATTGTTACTATATCCCGAATCTCAAGACTACGTATTTTGGGTGAAAGTGACCGAAATTTGAAATCTTGTAAGTGCACAAAGAAAAACCCGAGAAAACTAAATTAAAATATGGAATTAAGTGAGTACCTTTATACCTCCCAAGAACCTGTAACGATTTCGATTTCAAGTAAATTGCTTCGAGAAGTAAACTGAGCGCATGTGCAGATAATGGTGGAATGGCGTAGTTATGAGAACGTCTTTTCCGAGGTTCCCCTATTTTTGCAAGACTATTTTTGATCTTTGGAGTGACGGTAGCTATATCGATCCCTTCAAATACATGAAGAGCGGCTTCTATGTTTCCTTTTTGATACTCGTATCTTCCTAGCAATGCTCGTGCTTCCTGTATAACAATCATATCTATGATCTAATGGATGCTTCAAATAATTTAACCCCATTTAGAAGGGGGGGGGGGGGGGGGGGGATATAGCGGAAGTAGATGGTCGGTTACTCAAATCATGCATAAAAGACCTAGGTTCAAGGACGAAGGATCGTGTGAGAATAGGAATTAAGTTGAGAGCATAAGAAAGGATCTGGACCCTTGATCACTTTTAATCTCACCCCATCCATGAATTGCACTTATCACAAGAATTGATCTGGTGCATCTCGGTGCACTGCATAGTGTTGATCTTCAATTAGGATTGATCCAAGGGTGGAGATCTCTTCTCACCCTTCTCACCATAACTTCCATTCTCACGGAACCCAACCCCCTAGTTCAAGTCTGCAGTTGTCAAATTTGTTGATTTTCAGCTTAAATTTTGGCGTTTTTCTATATACATCTTGTGCTTTTAAGAATATATGGAGACTGGACTCAAACATAGGTCTCTTCTATGTAAGGAGAATGAACGAACCAATCAACCAAAAAATCTATACTAATATTGTGGGACAAAAATTAGATACTTTTTTATAGTCAAATTGTGCCACCACTTGAAAGATTTTCTGGGTCCGCCTGTTTGTGAACCCCATTAATTACTTTCCAAAAGAGCCCTTGAAGAGAGAATGGAAGTCCCAACATATACCGAGAACACCATGTCCAAGTTTAGTAGATGTGAGACTCTAGTGCATGCCCTCCAGTGTCCCTAGAGTGGTAGACTTTGTCTTTGATATCATGTAAGAATATGTGGAACCCCATTAGATTACTCTTTAAAAGAGCCATTGAGAACAGAAGGGGAGGTTCCAACATATAAGGACGAGAAATGGTCCAAATCTAGTTGATGTGGGGATCCAGTTTTTGCAAACAACAATTTATAGTCTTCTAGTTGATGTAGATTGCTTTATGCAGTTTCCAATAAACAAAGTTCCAATTATAAACAAACTTTCAAGTGCTAAACCGACAAAAAGAGTCGCTCTACCCTTTGGGACGGATGACAGATCTGCGTACATCCTACAACCAGACTCTACTTCCGAGTGGGATACACTGGTTTCATTTGGTTCTCCAAATCCTAGATATGCTTCTTTGTGCAAGAAGGTTATCAGCAATCGCGTAAAATATTGAATGATTCAAATAGGATTAGATCTTCTTAATCAAAATGAGAGAAGGGGTAGGAAAACCGACCTCATAATTCAGAGAACCACTTTCGCGAAGCGATAGTTCTGCTTCTTCAATACTACCGGTATCTGGTTTTCTATGGTTTTCTCCTGTGGCTTGAGAAGAATAAGCACTTGCTGAGTAGTCTTTCGTTGCTAGCGAGTCTGGTGACGGGATCATCTCATCTGCGCTACGAGATTGTTCACCCGAGCACAGGCACTGCACCAATTTTCCAAACTTTCGGTTTAATCTACTGCTATTTTGTACTCTGCTCTGATTCCTATTCCTCATACCGGCTTCCGATGCTCAAGAAATCTTTAACCCACAAAACCAAATGATCAATAACCACCCTCGAATCACTGACTATAGAAATTCAACACTTAAACTCACACATCAAACAAGAAATTGGGTGTTCCAAGAAATGTTTAACCCACAAAATCAATGATCAAATAACCCTCAAATCACAACTACAGAATTCAACACTTAAAATCACACATCAAACATGAAAGTGGGTGTCTCAAGAAATCTTTAACCTACAAAACCAATGATCAATAACCCTCGAATCACAGCTATCGAATTCAACACCTAATTTCGCACATCAAACATAAATATACAGTTTTTCAAGAAATCTTTAACCCACAAAACCAATGATCAATAACCTCTAATCACAACTACAGAAATCAACATTTCAACTCACACATCAAACCATGAAATGGGGTGTTTTAAGGAATCTTTAACCCACAAAACCAATGATCAATAACCCTCAAAATCACAACTACAGAATTCAACATTTCAACTCACACATTAAACATGAAATGGGGTGTTTCAAGAAATCTTTAACCCACAAAACCAATGATCAATAACCCTCAAATCACAACTACAGAATTCAACTCTTAAACTCACACAACAAACATGCAGTAGGGTTTTTCAAGTACGATTCAATGGCGGATTAAGATCAATCAACACATAAAAATACGCAAATTCATTTGAACAAGAACCTAAACAAGTTGACCTGCAACTTGAAAGATCTTGGAAAAAATCAAATTCCCAATTAGAAACCCCCAATTTCTTACCAAAACAAGTAGTAAATCAATCAAGATAATACCCAAATCTGTTCAATTTAAACCCTAACAAAAAACAACCCACAAAACCCTAAATAAACTACAATTCATTAAACTCAAATTGAAGTCCCAAGAAACTGAATGCTGATACGAACACGCAATGGTTGAATCACTACCCAGAAAACCCAAAATTATTATTATTCTCATACACAAATAAATAAAATAAAAGATTACCTTTCTTTATGGCAACTGAGATTGAGGAAACAGAGCACATAAAAATCATAACCCATCTTCAGTTTTCAATCAAAACCCTATTCAAAAGCCTTTTGATCAACACAGAATCAAATAAAGCCTCGATCTTTTCTTCACCTTTTTTGCTTTTCTTTATCGAAAAACTCCATCAAATACTGCAACCATTTGCTTTGCTTTTTAGTTGATGAATTCAATGTCTACCCATTTATCGGAAAGAATTCTTTCAAAGTTGAAAACAAGCGGATATTGAAGAATCTTGAACCGTAAGATTGAAGTTTATATTTCATTTAATTTTATTTATTTTATTATGTGAAATAAATGCAGTGTAATAAACAAATATAATTTAAAAAGACAACCGGATATGAAGAAATTTAATTGACTGAATTACGTTTTTAGTCCTTATGATTTATGAAAAGTTTGTGATTTTTGTCTCTGTGTTTTTTAAACCGTAGTTTTTATCCCTATCGTTTGTAATTAATTATTATTTTTGTTTGTTATGTTAATTTTTAGGTTGTGTTTGGTGTCTGGATAATACATGAAAGAAGATGACAGAAGTACATAGCAATTGTTCAGTATTTAGTAAGATAGAAGTGGATAAGTCATAAGACATGACTGATAAAATGATCAATTTACCCTTAATGAATTGTTTATACTTTTTTATGTAATTTGATTGATTTATGTAATTTATTAAATTATAGTAAAATAAATATTTTCTATAACAAAATTTAGTATTAGAAAATTTCGTTAATAATGTAACAACTCGTCCCACATAGATAGAAGATGAAAATTGTTAGCTCATTATAAGTCTCAAGTAGTGAGTTACCAATAACTTCCACCATATTGTTAAGTTGGATTAGAAGTTATTGGGTCATTCTATTGCTTTTGGCTTTGGGAATGTTATAAATGGTATTAGAGTCGATCTTTGTACCATCGGGATGGTGGGGTAAACCTCATCGGGTTCATCGAGAAGGAGTGTTTGTAACATCTTAGGCGAATCTCACATTGTCAATGACAAAAAGAAAGATTTTGGATAGACCTGACAAGGACGTCAGAAGTTTAAGTGGAGGAGTCTGTAACAACTCGTCTCACATAGATAGAATGTGAAAATTGTTAGCTCCTTATAAGTCTCAAGTAGTGGGTTATTAATAACTTTCACCATGATTTTAAGTTGGATTCGAAGTTATTGGGTCAGTCCATTGTTTTGTGCTTTGGAGGTGTTATAAATACGCTTAAAATAACACCAAAATATGAAGTATATTAACTTTTAAATTTTATTTTGTATATTTTCTATATTTTTTTCATTATTATTAGTATTTAATAAATTACATGAATGAACCAAAATTTATAAAACTTATAAAATCAACATTTTGAGAATTATAAAGTGAAAGTTTAAAGATATCAAATATGATAAATAAAATATAAAGAACGGGACATATTTGATATTTTAAAAGAGATTTAAGTTTTTTCTAAATTATATTAATAAAATATACGTTTATTCCACATTGTTCCATAGGGTCGTTACGGAACACGTATGTTCCATTTTATTCTACATAAAAATCATGTTAAACGTGGAACGATGATTTATGTTCTGTTTTATTTTGTTCAGTGTACAAAAAACACCTTGAAATATGAAATACGAAAATAACAACATAAATCATAAATGAAAAACAATAATAAATTGTAAATTATAAGGACGATAACAAGAAGGAATTCTAAGCCATATGAATGAACATTGTGATTTTAAAAAGTATAAGGACAAAAATAATAATACTTAACAAACCATAGGGACTAAAACTGTAATTTATTTAATTTAATTTTAAATATTAGGCCTAGCCCATGGAGTTTAACTGTCACGGTCCTTATGGGCTCATGTGTTGCCAAGTGGATTTAAATGCGCATATACCTATTTTTTTATTTTTTATTAAATATATAAGTAAAATCGATAATACATTAAATATTGATGAATAACTAGTGTTTGACACCATGCGTTGCATGGTGACAATAATCCTTTTTAAAATTATTAAAGTTAGCTAAATGAGTCGATGATCACATTTATATATTAAACTAATAAGAATCAATATTATCTTTGATATATGAATCTACCTTATCATTATTGGTTGTTCTTTTAATATATATATATATATATAATTTAAATTACAAAAATGAAATCTTTTAACGATTAATGCGGTTGAAAATATTTTAAAAATAAATAGAATTTGAAAAAAAAGTTTCAACAATTGTATGTTGAAAACATTTTAAAATAAAATAAGAATGAAAAAATAAAAGATGAATATGAAAAATGGTTTTTCATTAAACTTGTCAATATTCCATGAGGAGTAGTTGTTGTCAACCAAACTCTAAAACAATTGTTAAAAACATATTGTTGGTTCTATTGAGAAAAAAAACTTAAGAAAAATGTAGAAGACATTAGTTAAAGAAAACCTCTAAAATCCTAACAAAATTAAGAAGAATTGCATACTCRGATTAATCGTCTCGAAATAAACTTGAAAAAAAAATATAACCATTAAAAAAGGGCATATTGAAGTTTGGTGATGCTACATGAAAAATTGTAACAAAAAAACTTCAAAAATCTCAATAAAAGTCAAAAGGAAAGCATACACACATTAGTTTTCTCAAAATATACTTAAAAAAGAGAACCATTACAAAAATATGTTGCAATTTGTTGAGGCTACATCATGGTTTGTAATACTTCCAAGATTCTATCATCAGACGATTAATCGAACCATTGTTGCAATGAAAACTTTAAAAGTGTTGTCAAGAACAAACTMTCCGTTTCATTGAGAAAACTTAGGAAAATCATAGAAGAGAAAAGTAAAAAAAAAATTCTAAAATCCCAACAAAAATAAAAAGAAACGTATACCTAAATTGGTCTTCTCGAAATAAACTTGAAAATAGATTTGTTGAAAAGTAACAATTTATGAAATGAAAAATAAATCAAGTGATGGAGATGAAGAAAAATGAAATGAAAAACATTAAAGGAGAATGAATGAAAAAAAAAAAGATTGAATGATGAACAATTTATGAAGAAGAGTTAGGGAAAATGAAAAGATTGTGTTAAATGCAAACATAAATGAATAATCAATGTTTATAGAAATTAGAATGTGAAACTAAAAAAAAAAAATTAAAGAAGAATGAATGAAAAAAAAGATAAATAAATTTTCAACCTTTAGGAGAAGCCAAGTCATCAACCTTGGTTTCTCCTTTATTATATATATAGATTATTTAAATTATAAAAATGAAATCTTTTAACAATTAATGCGGTTGAAAATATTTTAAAATAAATAGAATTTGAAAAATAAGTTTCAATAATTGTATGTTGAAAACATTTTAATGTAAAATAAGAATGAKAAAATAAAAGATGAATATGAAAGATGGTTTTTCATTAAACTTGGTTTCTCAATATTCCATGAGGAGTAGTTGTTGTCAACCAAACTCTAAAACAATTG